AAATGGTTAAGGGTTCAGCTACTAGCTAAAAGATTAGCAGTTTGAACCTACACAGAGGTGCCTTGTAAGACAGGCCTTGGGAGTGTGCTTTCAAGGTCACAGCCTTGAAAACCTTATGGCATAGTTTTACTCTACACCCATAGGGTCACCATGAGTCAGAATCTGTTTGTTGCCAACTAACAACAGCTTATTTAAAAATTGCTTATAACTTTTGAAGAATCAGATGACATTTACATAACTCACCCAGAAAATCAACAGAGCCATCTGCAGGCTTAACCAGTGGTCAAGAAAATAGTATCTTTTTTTACATTGGATGTTAGTAATACCATCCCACAGAATACCATGGTACAAGGGTTTCTTGTACATTATTTCAAAAGATTAAAGTATAAGAGCAACAATCCCACCAGGCTGAATTGTTTCACAGCTTTATTTCTAATCGAAGACAACACCATAGCCAGTAATAGGAGAATTGTTAAATACGGTCCCAGGAGTGGCACAGGGAGAGCTAGTCCAGTCTAGGCAGCAGGGGACTGAGGACAACCATCTTGCACATCCATGTGATCACTAGTAAGGATTTTAACTGCTGTGACAGGCTGTGTGGACCAAGCATCATTCATCTGCCTCCAGACTGTCTAGTGGCCCTGCTTCCACTGCCATCCCTCTTCCTGAAGTGGTTTCTTGGGCTTAGAGAGCACATTCACTTAGACTTCCAGAAGCTGGAGCCAGGATGTGCCATGAAGGGCAGTGGGGCTGTTTGACTCCTGTGCCTCTACGTTGGGAGTTGTTGAAATCAGTGAACATCAGAAACCTGTATGTTTGCAGAATCATCATACAGCACTTTCAAGTTTTTAGAATTGAAAGCGTGATTTTTTTTTTCTTACCAAGCCAGATTTCGGTACAAAGTGTTTCCTAAAATGATTATTTTGCTTTTCCCTGCACTAACTCACTAAACATAAGTATGCTTGTGTTACTGCTTAGTCCCTGACTGGTGCATTTTTCATAGAACTTACTACCACCTGACGTTGTGTTATTGTTGTTGTTAGTTGCTCTGGAGACAGTTCTGACTCATAGCGACCCCATGTGTGCAGAGTAGACCTGGTCCATAGGGTTCTCAAGGCTGTGGCCTCTCAGAGCAGATTGCCAGGCCTGTCTTCCGAGGAACCTCTGGGTGGCTTTGAACCGCCAGCCTTTCGGCTAGCAGTGAAGCACTTAACTAGTTGCGTCACCCAGGGAACTTGGCATTATATTGCGTTTATTCACTGCCCGCTCCCAAAGATATGATCCATGTGCATCTGGGCATTTCTGATTTGTTAAGGGCTGTATCTGCTTTGCCCATGTGAAGTAGGCTCTGTGTCAGTATTACCTAAATCAATTTTAATAAATGAAAGAGCCAGGAAAAAAAAAAAAGATTATAAACTCTGCCTGGTTAAGTTTCTCATATTGACCTAAGAGGAGTTCCTTTGAGACTGATGTTCGGGATGGGCGTCGGTGCCCTGTGCATCTGTATCTACATTGATT